AGGAAGGAGTCTCTATCAACTGAGAGTGGGACAGCTGCAGTCAGAGCAGAGTGAAAAGCAAGCTCACACTGACACCACCAAATGCTGGTGAGGAGGTGGAGCAATGGGCACTCTCATTCATCGCTGGCAGGGAAGCAAAATGGCACAGTCACTTTGAAGACAGTCTGGCAGTTTCCTACAAGACTGACAGGCTTGCCAGGCAATCCAGCAATTGCATTCCTTGGTATATACCCAAATGTGTTGAAAACACATCCACACAAAAACCTGCACACGGATGTATACAGGCAACTTTATTCACAACTGGCAAAACTTGGAAGCAATCAAGATGTCCTTCATTAGGTGAATGGATAAATAAACTGTGCTCTGTCCAGACAATGGAATATTATTCAGCACTTAGAACGAGAGAGAGAGTGAGCACTGTCAAGCCATGAAAAGACAGTGGAGGATACTTAAACACATATTACTAAGTCAAAGAGGCCATTCTGAAAAGGCTACATACTGTATAACATTCTGAAAAGGCAAAACTATGGAGACAATAAAAATATCAGTAGTTGCCAGAGGTTAGGCAGGAGGGAGGGACGATTAGGTGGAGAATTTTTAGGGCAGTAAACCGAAATTTTAGGGGAGTGAAACTAATTTGTATAACTATAATGGTGGACACATGTCATTATACATTTATCCAAACCCATAAAATGTACAAGAGTAAACCTTAATGTAAATCATGGTCTTTGGGTGATAACATGTCTTTGTAGGTTCATCAATCATAATAACTGCACCATTGTAGTGCTGGAGGTTAATAATGAGGCAGACTATGTGTATGTGAGGGCATGGGATATATGGGAAATCTCTGTAGTTTCCTGTTAATTTGGCTATGAAGCTAAAACTACTCTTTTTTTTTTTAATTTTTTTTTAACATTTATTTTATTATTTTTGAGACAGAGAGAGACAGAGCATGAACGGGGGGAGGGCCAGAGACAGAGGGAGACACAGAATCTGAAGCAGGCTCCAGGCTCTGAGCTGTCAGCACAGAGCCTGATGCGGGGCTCGAACTCACGGACCGTGAGATCGTGACCTGAGCGAAGTCGGACGCTCAA